TTTTTTTTTTTTTTTTATTTTTTTTTTGGTTTTTTTTTTTTTTTTTTTTTTTTTTTTTTGGCTGTGTTGAGTCTTTGTTGCTGCTCACAGGCTTTCTCTAGTTGTGGCGATTGGGGGTTACTCTTTGTTGTGGTGTGCGGGCTTCTCATTGCGGTGGCTTCTCGTTGTGGAGCATGGGCTCTAGGCGTGGGGGCATCAGTAGTTGTGGCACGTGGGCTCAGTAGTTATGGCTCGCAAGCTCTAGAGCACAGGCTCAGTATTTGTGGCGCATGGGCTTAGTTCTCCGTGGCATGTGGGATCTTCCCGGGCCAGGGCTCAAACCCGTGTCCCCAGCATTGGCAGGCGGATTCTCAACCACTGTGCCACCGGGGAAGCCCTCTACTGGCTTTTTTAAGTGATTTATTTTCCAATTGTGATTTTCTCTTTCCTATAGATTTTTACTTCTTTTCTATTTAGAGAAGACCTTTCAATATTTCCTTTAGGATAGGTTTAGTATTGCTATGTTCTTCTATTTTTTCTTGTCTGAGAAATTCTTTCTCTCTCCTTCTATACTAAGTGATAGTCTTACTGGGTAGAGTATCTTAGGTTGCAGATTTTTTCCCTTTAGGACTTTGAATTTATCTTGCCACTCCCTTCTGGCCTGCTAGAGAAATCAGCTGATAGTCTTATGGGGGGGGGGTTCCCTTGTAATTAACTCTGTTTTCCTCTTGCTGCCTTTAGAATCCTCTCTTTAACTTTTGCCATTTTTATTATAATACGTCTTGGTGTAGGTCTTTTTGGGTTTATCTTGTTTGGGACCCTTGAGCTTCCGGTACCTGGGTATGTTTCTTTCTTTAGGTTTGGGAAGTTTTCAGCCATAATTTCTTCAAATACATTTTTGATCCCCTTTACTCTTTCTTTCCCTTCTGGAGTCCCTATTCTGCATAGGTTGGCACACTTTATATTTTCCCACAGGTCTCTTAGATGGCTTTCGGGTTTTTTCATTTGGCTTTCTATCTGCTGTCCTGATTGGGTGATTTCCATTATTTTATCTTCCAGATCACTTATTCATTTGCATTATTCATTCTGCTGTTCATTGCCTTTAGCTCAGCTTTCGTCTCTGCAAATGAGTTTTCTAATTTATTTTGGTTCCTCTTTATAGATTCTACTTCCTTTTTACAGTACTCTGCGTTTCTTTCAATAGCCTTTCTTAATTCCTTTGGTATTTTCATTATTTTCTTTTTGAAATCAGTGCCTATTAGACTGAAGGGGTCTGTTTCACTCTTTGTTCCTTCAGGGGTCCTTTATCTGGGAGTAGTTCTTCTACTTCTTCATTTTACATATTTCTCTTTTGAGTTTAGGAGAAACAGTTGTCTGCTGTGGTCTTGGAGGGCTGTTTATATGTGGGGTCATCCCTGTGTAGCTTTTGTGAGTTTAATATATTTGGTGTGAGGGCAGTTTTTAGTATGGATGCCCATGGCCTTTTTCTTCAGCGTGTGCTGGTCATTATCCCCTTGACGGGGGTGTGAAGATGCAGTGGCTGATGCCCAGTCCTGGGTTCTTGGTGGCGGCGGGCAGCTCAGGCACCCCCAGAGCACACGATGGGCACGATGGCATCTCACAGCCACTCCTGGAGTTTGGGCAGGCAGTGGTGGGGGCCCTGCAACCACTCCTTGGGTCCAGGAGGGAGGTGATGGTAGCCTGAAACCACTCCTGGTGTCGGGGGCGGGGGGGGCGCTGCGACGGCTCCTGGAGCCCATGCAGGTAGTGTCCTGCCCTCTGCAAGCGCACGCACAGAGAAAAAGGCTACAATGCAGATCCCACCCCTCCCCTCATGCACCCCCCAAACAATGGCGACTGGCCTCTAAGGTGACCCAGGCTTCCCCTGCATACACCCCCAGCTGTGGTCACACTGGATTCCAGCCCCCCCGGTCCGTCTGCACAACATGCCAACCCCAGTCCTCTCCCCAGTTTTGATCTCTAAAGCCCGAGTTCCAGCACCCAGCCCCCGCCAGCACTGGCAGACTCGTGTGTCAGGCTGGGGAGTGCAGGGCGGCAGCACTGACTGACTGACTGTGCAGTCTTCCGTCTGCTTTGGCTGACGCAAACCAGCTGCTGTTTTCTCCTCTGAGGCTCAAGCTCTCCTGTCCCGGCCCATCTCCCCGCCGGTGAGGGGGCTTCCCAGGGTGCAGGAACCTTTCCTCTTTTTCACAGCTCCTTCCCAGTGACACAGGTCCTGTCCCGATTCCTTTCTCACTTTCTTTTCTTTTCCTTTTTCTTTTTTCTTTCTTCCTACCTGGTTTCGTGGAGATTTTCTTGCCCTTTCAGCAGTCTGAGGTCTTCTGCCAGTGTTCAGTAGATATTCTGTGAGAATCATTCCACATGTAGATATATTTTTGCTGTATTTGTGGGGGAAGGTAAGGTTCATGTCCTACTATTCTACCATCTTGATTGTGCTTTTTTTTTTTTTTTTTTTAATCATCCCATACACTGTGTCATTTCCTTTTCAACCTATCTGGGGAAATCTGATGACCAGGGACACATGCAGCAGGTCATGCCTCTAGTCACCTTGCTCGGGTTATTATCCTTACTGCAGTCCCAGGAGCCCACAGCTCTGTGATGCTAGAGCAGCCTCAAAGGCAAAATGCACATGAGAGAAAATCAGACCACAAAGTAGAAACCAGAGTTAAAAATCTTTTTTTAACTTCTTTTTTTAAAAGGGTACATGTTTTTTTTCTCTGTTTATTTTTGGCTGCATTGAGTCTTTGTTGCTGCGTTCAGGCTTTCTTTAGTTGCAGCAAGCAGGGGCTACTCTTCGTTGCGGTGCACGGGCTTCTCATTGTAGTGGCTTCTCTTGTTGCAGAGCATGGGCTCTAGGCACGCGGGCTTCAGTAGTTGTGGCATGCGACCTCAGTAGTTATGGCTTGTGGGCTTAGTTGCTCCATGGCATGTGGGATCTTCCCAGACCAGGGATTGAACCCGTGTCTCCTGCATTGGCAGTGGATTCTCAAGCACTGTGCCACCAGGGAAGCCCTTTTTTTTTTTTTTAAACTTCTTAGAACATCTGGTTCATTAGTATTTAGAATGTATCCTAAAAGGTATGTATTGTTGTAAGGTAGCCAGGAAGGGAAAAACACTTTCTTTTTTTTCCTTTCAAAGATAGTGGGGGAACCAGAATTATTCACTTTTCCTCCTACGTTAACAAGACGTGCCTCTTTTCTTTAGGGCTGTGAATTCCACCTGTAACTAGACTCTCCATTTTGTCATAGTTTGGTTTTTTATATACATGGATTGCCTCTGCCCTTGGATATTCAAAAGCTAATCATCATATTGATTAAACTTTAAAATAGTGACTTTACGTTTTTAGAGCTTAACAGCGAGCAAAGGCACTGAGAGACCTCGTGGTCGGATCCCCACTGTGTATAGATTCCTGGACGGGTTCCAGAGTGAGCCTGTGCTCATGTTCGTGCAGCTGGTTAGTGGTGGAGCCGGGCTGGAGGCCAGAGGCCCTCTCCTGGCTCCCTTCGCTCTGCCTCTTGTCCCTCAGGGCTCCTTCCTTTTTCCAGGGAGTTGGTGTTGGGATGACTGCCCCTTCAGGGACAGTTTCCTCTCCTTCTATCCCACACTTCCGGGACCTGTGCTTTCGAGCTGACACTCATGGTTCATTGTCTCCCGTAACTGCACAGATGTTCCACTTGGGTTTTTGCATAATTGGTATCTTCCCTGGCAGAACATTTGAAGTGCTTTACCAGTTCTTACTGATTGTCTGGGACCCACCTCTAGTTCACGGCGCCTGACCCCGAAGGGCAGTAAGTGCACGCAGCACTTTACTGAGTGGGAGGGATTGTGTCCGCTTTATGAGGGTCCCCAGCTGGTGCCTGTTCAGAAAGGATGCTGCTTTAAGGTGTGGAATGCCTCGTGTACAAGGGTGCAGCCCTGATTGTTAGAAGTAACACATTGGGAATGATGTAAATGTCCAAAGGAAGGCAAACTTCCAAAGGGGGCAGAGAGCGCAGGGAGATCTGTTTCACTGTATCCCTTTTGTCTCTTGTGAATGTAGCGCCATGTGTAAGTGTTGCGTATTGACAATAAAAACTGCTTTAAACATAATAACGACGGTCTTACGGAGTCGTAGGGGCCTGGTATAGACAGATGGCCCTGCTCAGAAGTCCTGGGTGGTGGCGGAGCTGGTGGGGTGGGGGGTTTGAGAGGCTAATGTACCTGCCTTGTGTTTTGTGGCGCTACAGGTGGAGTTCCCTGAAGCCCGGATCTATGAGGAGACCCTGAATATTTTGCTGTATGAGGCCCAGGATGGCCGGGGACCCGACAACGCACTCCTGGAGGCCACGGGTGGGGCGGCCGGACGCTCCCACCACCTGGACGAGGACGAGGAGCGGGAGCGGGAGCGGATCGAGCGCGTGCGGCGGATCCACATCAAGCGCCCGGACGACCGGGCCCACCTCCACCAGTGAGCGGGCAGGGGCCCCGCCTGCACCCCGCCCGCCCTGCTCCTCCCCGCTGTGCACTCAGATTCCCCGAGAGCTCCCGGGCCTCCCGCTGCCCCCGCGTCCGGAGAGACTGCATAAAAAGCCAGATGACGATTTTGGTATTTCTCGACCAGGTGAATGGATTGTCTTTACCCAGGTGAACACACCTCTGCCAGTGAACAAGCTGGGTCCAAGGTCTCTGCTTTCCTGAGAATCCGAGAAGCACTGGAGCCAGGCTTTCCTGGTTCTGGAGGAAGAGGATGAGTGGGTGTGGTGTGTGTGTGAGAACTTGTCTGCGGTATTTATTTCTGTGGGTGTTGACTGCCTCTTTGAGCTTCTTGGGCCGCCTTTCCTCCACGGTTCAGTTTGTCAACTCCGAAACGGGTCCTGTAGTCGGTGTCTGCGAGCTCAGTGTTTCCTAACTCCACCCCAGCACCCTGGCCCCATTCCCGTGCCCGGCACAGGCTCCACGGCTTTGCGAACAGCCCGTCCTGCCTCGGGCATCGATCCTGGAGCTTGTTGGTGAAGGACCACAGCTCTTAGCAGTGGAGATACCACCTGGGGGTTCCTGCCTCTCAGCCGCTGTTCCTAGTGTGGCTCTGGATGCCCAGCTCCGTTGAAGGGTTGCCCCTTCTGCTGATCTGTGGTCTGGTGCTTGTTGGGACCCTGCAGGGTCTGGCCGAGAGCAGAGCTGCCCCTTCCTCTGCCCTCCTTGTTGACCCACTCCATTCCGGGAAGGCTGCCTGGCCTGCTTATGGGCATAGCGTACAAACCACTGCGCGGTGGGCTCCATTCCTTCCTCTTTGGCCTTATGCCCCGTTAAGCGGGGCTTACTGCCCCCAGCGGATGCCCTGCCCTTTGCTTAGAAGAAATTAAACATGGCCCCAGACTCTTTTCTGGCGTCCAGACAGGACCACTGCTCACACCAGCAGCCTCAGGACGGTTCACCTGCTGTCGGCGCAGCCGTCGCCTGGAGATCCCTTCCTGTCTCTGATCCTTACACGGTGTGGAGTGGCCATCGGTGAGCAGACGGAGAGGACGTGCAGATCCTTTTGGGTCCGGTCAGTGTGCATGTTCATGTTTGTTTAAGGGACGTGTGCGATTGTGGATGAGGATGTGTGCCCATGGCGCCTGGGTGGCCCGCGCTGGAGCCCTGCTGTCTGCACGGCGCTCGTGTGGGACGGACGTTCTCGGTTACCTACCTCCCCGTCTCCGCGCCCGCCCGTGACGCACAGAGGGAGTGGTGACAAATGTGGGTGGTTGAGACTAGGCTGGTAGAGTAGTTCCAAGGAGATTCGGATGTGTGTAAGGTATGGATGGGTTTTGTCTGCTATTCAAGGGAAACATTACCATTTTATACCAAAGGTATTAACACGGGCAGCCTTTGATACAGTGCATTCGAACAAAACGAGTTTATATTTTGAAATGGTTTTTACAGCTTAGACTTTGTACACCCTGCCCTACTTGTGACAGTTGTATGCCTTTATTTTGTATCCAGCAGCAAAGCCTACAATAAAACTTTAAAACAATCATGACCCAACCTAAAAATCATGTATCGGGTAGATGCTTTTTAAACTGTTGTGTGGGAAACTTTCATATTAGGCCACTTGGATTTTATTAAGTGCTAAGGATGGGAGGGGAGGGGGCTTAAATAATGTTTTGTAAATATTTTATACTGTTTAAGTTTTAAACACCAACCCTGCTGTTTGGGTTGAACTTTTTTAGAAAGTTAAAGTGAATGTCAGTTCTGATGTTTTCTATAGGAATGGAAAAGCCATCATGTAAGTTCTGTTTTTCAAATGTTTACGTGAAGAGTAACTAACTTTGTGGAACAGTCTGATTAGTTGGGGCTTCTACACCTTATGACCAAATGTTTCTGGCCCTCTTTCTACTTTCACGTTTCCTTCAACTTTGCACTTGTAGTTTGGAGTCTTTGCTTCCCTGGGATATGAACAAGTTCATGAAGCATTCCATGGTGAGTGATACTGTTAGTTGCATACAGCTGTGAGCTGACAATGACAAAGTGCTGGCTAGTCCAGGCTCTGTTATCAAACATATTCTACAAAGAAGTGATTTCTTATGTGAGCACTAAGGGCAACAAAAGTCAATATTTGTATTTAAGAACCATCCAAGTAAAAACAAACACTGGCCTAAGATTTGGTGAAGAGCTAAGTTTTATTACACTGTAATAACTTACAATGGAAAAAGCAGAACAGCTTTGGGTCCCTCGTAATGAGGCTTTTTTTCAAATAAGTCATCTGATTGTGGTGACTGGGGACCTTGCCTCTCCATCGTCCTCCTGTAGTGGCTTAGCAGGGCGGTCGCTGTGCAGGTACCCTGGCCCTCCCTCTGGAATGTGTGTTTTCTAGGGCTCCACCCAGGGTCACTGTAACACGTGTGTGTCACTAACCTTTCTGTCTCTTTGTGCCATGGAAAAAAACGCTATGAGCTTCAGAAGTAGTCACTGTGTGTTGTACAAGCATCTGTGGACATATGTAAAATAAAAGTTATATAACGCTTCTACTTAAATCTGTTTTTCTGGGTCTTTTCAGAAATGCCCAGCACAGTCCAGCCACTGAACTGAAGTGCAGTTCACAGGAAAGAGAGCAGAGATCCCACCTTCTACTTCACCACCTAAAGGTTGCTGCTCAGGGTGGAAAAGATGAGTCATTTTTCCGTAGTGTTTGAACTCAAACACTGGAAGGAAGTCTTGGGTGGAAATGCCGCTGGGCTTGTGAAACAGCGGTCGGCTGCTGTTGCCTCCGACTGCAGGTTTGGGGTGGGGAGAGCTACACCTCACCATGTGGAGCCTAAAGCCGTGCAGGAACTGGGTATGTTTCTGAGTTCCATTTATTTAAAGCAAAATTCAGATTTTGCAGCTTTATGCTCTCAGACCACGTACAATACTTCATTGTGCCCCAGGGGCAGCATGACAAAGAGAATCTGTCATCCCCCCATACTGACATGTTCAAGTGCCCGTCAAGTGTAGGTCCTATTGGGGATGTTTAAAATCACCCCCTTGGGTGACTTGAGGTTGGCTCCCTAAAGAGAACATGTAGTGCGACGGAACACCTGAGGGTTTGGCCTTTGGCATAAGATGCCACTCTGCTTCTTCAGGGACGATCCTTTTCCTAGAGCTGCTGGAACCTTTGCTTGAAGGTGTCGCTAACTGGACCAAATTCGAGCTTTCCTCAGTTGCAGCAGAAACGGTGATGGGAGAGATCACACGTCATCCTCCATCAGGACTTCCTGCGGACCGACACCTGGGGAAGGTACACGCTGAGGTTCAGAGGTCTCCCCTCTCACTCAGGAGGAGGCAGTGAGCGGTGCAGCCGCCTGCATGGTTGAGGGGGACGTGGACAAGCTGCGAGCAGCCAAGCCCCGTCACCCACACCGTCTCCTGCCCCACCTCCCGTGAGACAAGCCACATCCAGAAATGGGCTCACTGAGGCCTCAGCTTCCGCCTGAGCCAGCCAGGGAGGAATGGGGGTAAGTTTTAAGACAGCATGTAAACTGAAAAGTCACCTTATACTTTACATTAAAAATCATGCTTCAGTATTTTAACTTGTCCCCAAAGGAGTTACCTGTTTTCAGGGGCAATTATGTGTCTTTGTCCACAAAACAATTTCATCGTTAAATGTGTATGAGACAGTCCATGTTAGACCATTTTTTAGTTTGTATATATATACCAAGTATTCATAATTTGCTACAAACCATGTTTTAAAGATTCAGCCCCGTCAGCTTTCAGTGTGTCATTTGCCAGCAGAATTGGATCAGACTTGCTAGCGAGGGCAAAGCCCCGAGCACTCAGGCTTGACTTCCTAAGTCAACCTTGACTAACCTCTCCTCCTCAGTCCTGGGATCCTTGTTTTCCAGAGCCCAGGCCTCACCCCCAGCCAGTTACGTCATGGTGTTGGGGAGCGGGTCGGGGGAGACACACACACTGGTATTTTTCGAAGCTGGTCGGGAGTTTCCCCTGTGGAGGCTCACTTGAGAACCACGTGATAGGGAGTGAGGCCTTTGGCATCCAGTGAAGAGGGGCTTTGACGTTTATAGTGTGAAAAGTTTAACGTCAGCTTCTGGTTCACTGACAAATGTGAGTAAACTGTTCTCCTTTTCAGTCCGTGTTTGAATCTGCACCTCTAGTACCCATTCCTTCCTATTTTTCAACGCAGAATCAGGGACAGAGGGAGAAATAAACTAGACTATGATTCTGGTCAATCTACAGGAGGACTGAAATTGGCAGAATCTTAACCTATAGTCTTACTTAAAACTGCTTACACCTCCCCCTCCCCAGACACGGCCACTCACCACTGTTAACTGTCCGTTTTTATCTTTATAGATTTGTTCTTCTGGTCCGGTGTCAAAAACTATTGTGCCTTCTTTTCCAGGACTAATATAAAACTGTAAACTTAAAATACACAAAGTGATAAATTACTGGCATACTCTATTTTTTCCTTCAGCTGTGGGCCTGCAAAAGAAATTCACCTGTGACGCTTACTAGTTTTGAGATCAAATTCCTGTTTCATTACAGAGTTTTATTGTATATTTGAGTAATCGAAAGAAAACCGTTTCTGCAGCTGGGAAAATGGCCACGCCTTCCTGTAGTTATTTTCAAATCGGTTTAGCACAGTTCTTCCACAGGCATCAACAGCAGAGGTGTGGCTGGCACCTGCTCTCCCCCAGGGTGGGTCCCCCTTTCACTGGGTGACAAATTCCCTTAGGACCATAAGCACCTCCTTTGAAAACTAGATGGTGAGACCACTGTTCATTCCCTTTGGTGAATAAGTGATCACTGACTTCATTTCTGTGGAGCCCAAGTCCTAGGGGGTGAGGAGGGAAGAAAGCTGGTGATCGGAGGGGGCAAGGGTACCCCCACCCCTTGTGGGTAGGCAGTTCTTACTTTGCGGGGAGGGGCAGGCCTGGGTGAAACGATTAACATTTGTGTCTTCCTTGATCTGTTAATAGACACTTAACATTGAATGACTTCCTGAGTACAGACGAAACCACCTACCTTCCTTGAACAACATTTACAATGTTCTCCTTCTTAGCCAGCATGACGAGTTTGGTAACTGCCTCAAATATGTGTTTGCACTGTAAGACGGCATCCCCCTGCGGCAGAGAGGAGAGAACACGGCCGGTTCAGTGGTAGCGGCTTCACAGAAGAACATCACTGAGGTTTCACTGGGGGCAGCTAAAGATTTTGGCAGTGTTTCCCTCTGTTAGCAGCCCTGTGGCCGTAGGTTACCTTTTGCCTGTTGCCTTCTGGCGAAACGTGAATGACTAACATTCCGTCGCTGAAGCTGCTGGTAGAGACACCTTAGGACAGATCCAAAGTTAGAGGCCAAGAACTGGACAACTTGACATTAATACAGAAAAAAGGCATGCCTGGGGTGTCCCCAACCCCAGGCTTTTTCCCTCCTAGCTGGGCCAAGTGGGGTGGCCCTGCAATCAGCACCTGTGCTCGGAATAAAAAGCTGGTCCCTGTCAAAGGTGACTAGTGTCCGACCCGGATGCCCGAGTGAGATGCCGTTGGCGTTTGTGCCAGAATAAGAGGCACAGCCCGGGCCGCCCTGGGTTTTGTGGGCATCTTCACTTAGGTCTTTCCGTGAAAGGCTGCTGCATTGCTGGTGTGCCCGGGAGCTGAGTCAACCCAGTGAATTTTCTGAAGATTGCCTGCTGCTTACCTTTGAGCGCAGGGTACTCTATTTTCTGCTTGATTTTGGCAAGTTCCACCACGTAAGCTGCTTTCTGAGTGAGAATGAGTTGCCTCTGCCGTGTCTTGAAGCCTTTCCTGTCGTATTTAATGACCGGGATACCGTACTGCAAGGAGGTGACCGTCACTACGAGGCGACGCTTGCTTCGCGGGGGAGGGCGGCAGCGTACCGAGTGCCTTGTTACTCGGCCTCTGGAAACGTTGCTTCGAGCCCCCGAACGGAGAGGGGCTCAAACAGATCTTGCATAAATGAGTTTTCCCTGAACCCTGGCTCTCTGCCTGAAAGGCTGTGATTCCTGGCTCTGCCTGTGACGTTGACCTTCTGAGGTATTCAAGGCCACAGCCACTTGCCTCACGGGGCTGCTCTGAAAGGTCAGCAGAGATGAAGACACTCTGCAGGCGTTAAGAGCCCTGACAGCCAGAGGGTGATCCAACCTAGTCACAGGTTTCTAGTCCCCAGGGACCAAAGTGACCAAGCAGCCACCGGAGCCAGTCACCAGCTGCCGCATGCCAGGCCGCAGCCTGTGCCCTTCACACCATCAACCCCTCCGTCCTCCCCATTCACAGAAGGATGGAGGCACCGAAGGCGTAAGTCACCTGCCCAGGATCACACAGCTAAGTTATCAAACCCACGTCGGCGCCCAGGCACACTGCTTCTAACAGGGGATGTTTAACGATTAAGTGTATGCCTGCATTTCGCTTAACTTCATAGAAAGCCAAACACAGTTCCTGGGTGACGGGTGAGGGCCATAAGAACAGCCACAGGTACCTAATAGTCACGTAACTGTGATCCCTACCATCTTAACACCCAGAGCATCACAGCTGAGAGCCCGGCCCACGCACACGCACCCCTGCCTTTTAATAGTGCTTCCAGACCCCCTTCACGTAGAAGACAGACCCTGTTCTCAGACCCCACAAGGGAATCCTGTCTCAGGCAAGGACACACATTTCCTTACCTGGATTTTCTCACTGCTGATGAGCTGAAGCACTTTGGGATTAATGTCTCCTTCATCTAAGGAAGCAACCAGAGCACAGCAAATCACTAAATACCACCCCTGTGCACAGGCCGCTGGCATCTGCTCGTTTTCTGTCCCTCTGTGACCAAGAGCTCAGCCTGGGAGCTAGCTGTCAGGAAATGCGGATCAAGTATCTTCCTTTGACTTTTTTTTTTTTTTTAAATAGGGGAAGTGAGCACATAGATGAAAAAAGGGACTTACCTATTCGGCTGTCGGCAAAGGGTTGATTTAAGCTTTCTGCATAGCCTTCTTTCTTTCCCCTGAATATTTCACTTGTAACCACCTTTTGCTGCATCTGGTAATACATAATTAGAAGTACAAAATGGTAGCCATGAGGCTTTTGGGGACTTAAAGAGGTCCACACTAGTGCTTGCTTTCCTGAATAAGTAAGGCTCCTCAAGGAGCCTTTGTCATACTTCTTCTGCATAGGAGTCAGAACACATAGAAGTCAAACACATTTGGCTTTGGCCAAAATGCCTCAAAAATTCTACTGATTAGAGTCTGAAGTTGACACTTAGGCTTGTCTCTGCTTGCACTGACTTCCTGGAAGTGGAATTTTCAGAGTTGAGAGTTTCTTCTAGGTCAGAGATCCCAAACTGCAGCCCGTGGGCCAAATCCAGTAGTTTTTTTGGAGCGCAGCCATGCCATCCATTTACAGGTTGTCTCTGGCAGCTCGTGTGTACCAGGACAGAATAATTTCAACAGAGATGGTGTGGCCGGCAAAGCCTAGAATATTACCCTCTAGCTCTTTACAGAAAAAGTCTGCTGACCAGCAAATGAACATAAAGAGAACTACGCCACCAGCAGAGAAGGGGCCCTGCATGCTTTGCGGTTCAGAGGCCGTCTAGATGATGTTCCCATGGTAACAAAAGAGCGATGCTACTTTGAACAGCTGCCAGTTAACGAGGGCTCTGTGCTAAGTGGTCTACATGCGTTTCATCCTCAAAGCATGTATGAGGCATGAGCCTTGTGTGACCCTTGGCTTACAGGTGAGATGGTGGGTGAGGATTGCTGACAAGGGGCCAGCACCCACCCCTCCAGCATCTTGCCACCTGCCCGCAACGCCACGTCCCTACCAGGGCTTTCCTCTCGGCTGTGATCCCTCGGCGGTACTTCCGGACCAGGTTCCTCATGCACATTTTCCTGAGCAGATTCGATGCCTGCGTGGAGAACACTCTTCTTTTCCACCTGCCTCCTTCACCCGCCCCCGCTTTAGGCTTCAGCCGCCAAAACAGAAGCTTTGAAAGCACAGCTGAATTCAGTGTGAGGTAAAGGACAGCCTTAATATTTTCTAGTCAAAGAAAGCAGCTCATCTTCCAGTCTTGGGCTCACTGTTCGCCGCTGCTAAACTAGTGGTTCCTGATCTTGAATGAGTTTTGAGTCACCTGAGTTGCTGGCCAGGAGGTTCCTAGAGACGCTGATTCAGTGGGCCCGGGTTGGGGCCCAGGAATCTTAGTCACCCCCACTCTGCGCTCCAGACACAGAGGGTCCCCAGAGCATCTACTGAGAAACACTGTTCTAGGCAACAGTCCCTAAACCCATCTGTAAATGTTACATCAAGGACAGAAACCATTCAAGAGTGCTCTGTGTAAACAGACCTCCACGGGCTTTATAACTCTAGAGAGGATATACGAATTGCGCAGAGTTAAATCCCTTGGGCATCACTCTTGCAGGGAAGTGGTTTGTCTGCTGAGGCAGCCCTTTCAAGGCGAGGGGGGCGGCACCAAAAGATATACAGGTTAAGCTCCATCCGTGCCCACGCCATTTGCAACGTGAGTCCTGGAACAGTCCTTACGTTTTCCAAGAGGCCAGGAGGCCTCAGCCAGCTGTCGTCCAAGACGTTCTCTGGGACGTGATACCGAAGATTCAAGATGTAATTCTTCCGCACGAACACGATGAACTCCTCATTGTCAGGACAGAGGGGCTCGTTGCGATGGATGAATCCCTTTATGAACCTAAGCGGGAGAGAGTTTTGTTAGTTTTCTATTTCTTCACTTCCCATTTCTTCACTGAAACTTGCGTTCTCTCCCCTACTGGTTTGATTTAACGGTGGCCAAAACGGTGGCGATTACTTTGTTCGCCAAGTAGGGCCACAGGCCAAATCTGGCCCAAAGATATGTTCTATTTCACCCACACCATTTTTTGTTTTCTTTTGAGTGACTTGAATTCATTGCCAACAACAACAACAACAAACTGGGAAGTATTACATGAAAGCCGGATTTCCAGCTTTCCTTGAAAAAAAAAGATCTCCCAACACTGGGCTGGCAGCAGTCTGCTAAAGTGGAGTAGTGACTGCCCCTCTTAGGTGGACTGAGCTTTCCAGTTTGCCACAGTCCCTACCCTACCTTATTGCCTTATCCCAGCTCATGAGACTCGCTGTCCCTGCCTGGCCTCAGAAGGCATTCGACTTTGTGACTTTTGAACTAGGCTAAGAGAAACAACAAACGTTCTGAGTTGCGATCACTGTCAAATTAGGAAGCTCAGAGGAAGGAGAGGGAACAGAATTCCTAAGCGTTGACATCCTGCAGGGAAGATGACTTTTCTGCCCAGAGCCAAAACCTCCAAGTCCATGACCACCCGCTGCAGCACAATAGCACTTAGAGACCTTTCCTCCCTACTGGACCCAACTGAGAACTTACTTTCTTATAATCTGCACAGCCCACTTTCTCCTTTTGGCCTCCTTCCGAGCCAGGGCTCCACGCCAGTGGGCTTCAAGTTTAATGGCTGAAAGAGTCCACTGCTGGCATTAGAAAGTGAGCACAATCACTTAAATACAAAAGCCTTTTCCAGAATTATTCATCCACTCCACAAACACCTGGATGCCCAGCACCGCACTCCGCTAGCCCTCGAGATGGAAAGTGGGATGAGAGTCATCAGTCTCTACCCGGACGTGCCCAGACGGACAACTGAACCAGAGTGACGGAGGAGCAGAGGGTGCTGGGAAGCATCAAGGGAAGCTCCCAAATTACACAAGGGGTCAGTTTTCTGAGGTCTTTTTGAGGGACCAGAGTGGCACTTGATGGCACAGATTAGTCTTGCCACTGCGTTTGCTTTGTCTCACCCCATGTTTAGTTTTAGTTGTCTACGTTAAAAAATGGGGATACATAAATTGGGACACACAAAAATTAGATTTCTGGCTTGTGTCCCAATTTTTAAATGCTTTTCAGATTGTTTTTCCAGTTAATTCAGATATTCAAAATGCTTTTCTTTTATTCCTCATGGCCACATTGTTACAAAAACAAACTGGAAACAACCCAAATGTCCATCAACGGAACAGCTAAATTGCGGTACGCTCATATAGCACACAGGGGTCAGCAAACTGCGGCCCTCGGGCTGGCCACCTGTGTCTGTAAGTAAAGTTATTGCAACAGAAATGTCGCAGAAGAAAAATACAAACAGCATAATTTTATGGAGTTCAAAACATTCCAGCCTGCAAGTATATTATTTAGTGGTGCATTCATAGATGATAAAATTATTAAAAAAAACAAGGAAATAAGGGAAAGTTCAGAAGAATAGTGTGTGTGTTGCGGGGGGATGCGGAGAAGTGATTGAGGAGGGACAAAGTGCAGGGGCTCCAAGTGCACTCATGGTGTTAGTTAATAAAAATAATAAAATTTTTTATTAATAAAAAATTATTCTTTAAACATGCATGGACTTCCCTGGTGGCACAGTGGTTAAGAATCCACCTGCCAGTGGAAGGGACATGGGTTCGAGCCCTGGTCCGGGAAGATCCCACGTGCCACAGAGCAACTAAGCCCGTGCGCCATAACTACTGAGCCTGTGCTCTAGAGCCCACGAGCCACAACTACTGAAGCCCGCATGCCTAGAGCCTGTGCTCTGCAACAAGAGAAGCCACCGCAATGAGAAACCCGCGCACTGCAATGAAGACCCAACTCAGCCAAAAATAAATTAAAAAAAAACATGCACATGTTGTGGATCAAATAAAACATGTCTGTATAACAAGTATAGGCTACATTGTTGAGTAAAAATGAGGCCCCAGAACCAGACCCCAAGAATGCCAGACACCAAGGTTTCAAGGCCAGGCAGGCGAAAAGGATGCTCAAAGGAACCTGTGCGTCTAGGTGCCATGTGGATGAGAGGGAAACTTGGCCATGGCAAACCTGAGAGGTCCTGTTCAGTTCTTACCTGCTTGTCTTTTTCTCACGTATGCTCTCCTTTCCAGGCAGCCTTTGTACATGGCTTGGATTCTCGCAACTTAAAAGAAAACAAAACTTTTGGTGAAACGGCTTTCAGTTGTGCAGCTTGGTAGGTGTGACTTTCGGAGGAGGTGTCGGCTATGGCCCTAGGGGCACGCAGGGTAGAGGTGACAGGAAGCCACGGGATATGACGGGATAGAAACGAGAGTGGGCGGGTTACGTTCAGCCTGAGTGCCAGAGCTGGCCAGTAACTGGGGCTCCCTTTCTTCCTCTTGCCTTCCCCCAGCTAAGGAACAGAACCACTATCTGGAGGGCTTGCTGGCCCCTGGTTCTAGGCATTGTATTTCATCCTCCCACCCAACCCTGCAAGGCAGGCAGGCAGGCATCAGCACATTTGACAAAGCGGATCACAGACCCAGCCGGTGAAGACCCTTGCCAGGTGCGAGGCAACCACGCGGCTATGAAGCAGGAGTGTGAACCCAGGGCTGTGGAACCACACACATGCTGTGTAGCTTCTGCATTCACAGTGTGCCCCCTCCACCCAGTGACTGGGGTCCCCCCACAGACCAGGCTCCTCGAGGGTCCCGCACACCAGCAGCATCACATCCCCTGGGAGCTGGGTAGAAACGTTAACCCAGGCCCCCGCATTCAGCACCTGCCCATGAACCTGATCCTGGGTGATCAGTGCCCGCTGCCGGAGGGGTCAAAAACAGACCACCAACAACAGTGGTTATGAGCCCAGGCCCTGAAGCCAGACACACACTCAAACCCCCGCTCTGCTGCTGTTGGGCCTCAACATCCTCACGTGTAAAGTGGACATGATAATACCACTCGTCCACAGGTTTGTTCCGAGAATACAATGAGATCATGAATACAGCAAGCACTGAGATTACTCAAGCACAGCTGGTCTCAGCAGGCCAGGTGAGATCTCAGAGGGGAAGCCCCTACCCCCTGGTCGTTTTGATTTGTGATTTTTTGCGTTTTCCTCCCGTCTAAGTTTTCTTATTTACCATTCACAACAAACACCCTGGCTGTGGGCTTTGCAGCTACACCTTCCGACATCAGACACATACAAATGAAGTTTAAAAAAAACCCTTCATTTAAGGGGGATGGACTCCATGGGTTTAGGTCCTAGTGTGGCACGACAAAGTTGGATCCAAACTAAAAATGAGGCAGAACTGCAGTGTTTAAGTTTCCAGGTGCATCCATGACAGCCCTCCAAACATAAGGGATAAATTCACCTGTGTCTTATAATCCTGTTGCCTTGTTCTGGGTTAAGGCATAAGTTCACCTGTATCTTATAATCCTGTTACCTCGTTCTGGGTTTCCAAAGCCAGTGCTTCTACCATTATATCAAACACTCATGTTTAAGATGTTTCCCAAGCTAAGCTTGTTCATATCACATTCTGTTAAAATCAGGGCAGGAAAAAAAAGACATACCTAATTGATGTTTACTAAATTCAAAGGCATCTTCAGTGGCAAACAGAGTTCTGGGGAAGCGAATGAATATTTTGGATCTAGAAATGAAAAAAATGTTTTAATTATTAACTGGTCGTCACCGTCTGTAGTGGATTCAATCGTGTCCTCCCCCCACCCCCAAAGTCACATCCACTTAGATCCTCAGAATGTGATTCTTATTTGGAAATACGGTCTTTGCAGATGTCATCAAGGTAAAGATTGAGATAAAATCACACTAAATCCAATGAGAGTGTTCTTATAAGAGAGAGGGAAAGACGCACAGATGCGGGGGAGAAGGCCGTGTGAAGACAGAGGCCGAGATTGGAGTGATGCTGCCACAAGCCAAGGAATGTCAGGAGCCACTGGAAGCCGGAAGCAGCAAAGAAGGATCCTCCCAGAGAGACGTCAGAGGGAGCACGGCCCCGCCAACACTTGGATTTTGGCCTTCTGGCCTCCAGAAATGTGAGAAAATAAATTTCTGTTGTTTAAAGCCAACCAGTCTGTAGGTAATTCATTATGCAGCCCTAGGAAGTTAATTCGCCTTCCTAACCCAAAGTGACTTCCCTGGGCTTTAAAAGGTGATGACAGAGAATATGGGTCTAAGTCTAGGAGAAGATCCCATCAGCCAGCAAAGGTAAATTATAAATATTGAGCTCCTATTGCCCGCCCTCAAGCCCCCCGGCAACCCACGCTTTGAGGGAAACTTCCCAGGCCAGCCACTGGGGGACAGCAGAGCATCGTGCCACGTGAACCCATCAGAGGTTTTATACCGGGGACAGGTAACACCTCTGACCTCCATGACCCACCTCCCACTGGATGTGCTAAGCCCTATTCCTGAGAAATCTGGCTTGGAAAAGTAACTGCTCCTTGGAGCAGGGCCCAGAATAGAAGAATAAAGGATGGAACACGGGGCCAGGGTGGTCATAGAGGGCCATGTACAAGTTGGCAGGGAAAGCCCACTGACAGATTCAAAGGCAGCGATCCCTGATGCTGGAATCTCTGCGGCCTGGGAGTAGATCCTTTTCATGCGTGGGCCCTGTTCTTTGCAATCAAATGAACGCTGACCAAAACGTCTAAGAGAACAGATGAAAATTATCCTGGTTCACCCCACTGCATCCTGCCTTGATGCTTTCAATGTGTACGCAACGTCCTGCTCACGGACGACAGCTCTACAGTAATGATACCTAGAGTTCTAGAACACCACTTTCTGGGAGATGCTAGAGGAGCTTTCTCATCGCAGAAGTCCGAATATCCCCTCCGAGAAGTCATGCATACATTTTGAACAATGAAAGAATGTAGGCACAGAGAGATTAGGGGATTCGCGCTGACACCCTCCTCATTTTGTGCACAAAGAAGCTCATCCCAGTCTCCAGTGCAGGTTTAGAACCCGGGGCTCCTTTATACTTAATCCCCTCCAACAGGCAACTATGTAGCCTTTCTAACCACTTAGCGCTTGTGATACGGTGCTTTATAATAAGAAGTACGTATTTGGTCTCTGTCCCGTTCCAGTGTCACAGCTCCCAAAACCCTTGTAATTTCCTAAGTGATTAGAGCAATGGGGCATCTTTCGCTATGATCTATCTTTTGGTTTTTGTTCCTGAAATAGCTTCAAAGTGATAAAGGGGAAATGGGTGTCTTTTTAAAAATTCTTTTCCATTATGGTTTATTATAGGATATGGAATATAGTTCCCTGTGCTATACGGTAGGACCATGTTGTTTATAGTAGTTTGTATCTGCTAATCCCAAATTCCCAATTTATCCCTCCCCACCCCCTTTCTCCGGGTGTCTTTTATTATTTATAACAAACCCCTTTCAACCACACCACACCTGAGTTTATGCTAACAGCTGATGTTTGGAAAGCCCCTAGATAACCTAAGGATGGGAACTGGTTGCCAGGGAAACCAACCTTGAGATTAGAGGGTTGGAACTTTCAGCCCCACTCCTGGGCGTGAGGTTGAATGAATGACCACTGGCCAATGAATTTATCAATCATGCCTATGCCTCTGTAAAACCCCCAAAAGGCATGATTTGGAGATCTTCTGGGTGCACCTGGAGAGAGCATGGGACGTCCGCACCCCCTCCCACACACCTTGCCCTGTCTATCTCTTCTATTTGGCTGTTCCCAAGTTATATCCTTTTGTAATAAACTGGTAATCCAGGAAGTAAAGTATTTTCCTGATTCTTTGAGCTACTCTAGAAAAATTAATCAAACCCAAGGAGGGGGTCATGGGGACCTCCAATTTATAGCTGATTGGTCAGAAACACAGGTGACAAACGGGACTTGTGATTGGTCTCTGAAGGGAGGATGGACAGTCTTGGGAGACTGAGCCCTTAACCCGCGGGATCTGACACCATCTCCAGGTAGACTGTCAGAAGTGAGTTTAATTGTAGGACACCCAGCTGGTGTTAGAAGTGTGATGGAGTGTTTTGAGTGTGAGGGAAGCGTTGAGAGTAGAGACACACAGGAGAGTTTTTTCTTTACAGAGATGCATTTAAATTGAGTGAATCCAAGTATCTGCTTAGAAATCTACGTAAACTCCTGAAGAATGTATCTCCAGGCTCAAGATGGATACAGATCGATTAGGAAAACATTTTGACCGCGATTTCCGGGACACTCACCTCCCTAACTTGTACTCCTCGGGTTTGTAGCCAATGTACTTGATCAGCCGCTCTACGCCCTCTGCTGGAGGCCCGTGCCAGTGCGGCCAGGTGTCTGGGCACAAGGACTTGTACCTAGGGAGGGGAGAGGCATGTTTAGGAAGCTGCAGACCTTACCCTAACTAGCTCCCCTAGAGGTCAGCTTCACTCCGCTGGGCACGCCAGACACTCAGAGTAATAGAGTAGACTCATCACACCCACTTCCTAGAATTCAACGATATATACTCAGCAATAAAGAAGAGGAACTGTTTCAACAGGGTGGGAGGTTTGGCCTGTCTTCATAGAACAATGACCTCATCAGACACTCTACCCAAGAAACTCAATTCTGCTCCTAGGTGTATACGCAAGAGACATGAAAACATGTCCGCACAAAAGCTTATAGGTGAATATTCGGAGCATCGTTATTTATAATTGACGAAAGGTGGAAACAACCCAAATGTCCATCAACAGACAAAGGAATGTATAAACAAGTATGGTCCAGCACGGGAAGAAAAGGTATCATGCTTGATAAGGGACGAGGGATTTTTCAAGGGTAATTTTGGACCCAAGGTTGACTTAAGAACCTGATTTCAGTATAAAATGCAACTCCCTTCTAATATGTGGTCGCGATAAAGATAACCATGATGTCTGTAATATGATGAAAAAAGTGAATGCAGGATTCAGAAGTGCCTGTGGACTGAGGCTAGAAGTGATACAACTGGAGCCACTGGACTAGAACCGCACTGCTTGGGCTGGAGCCCAGCTCAGGAGCTGGACAAGTCGCTTCACCTCCTCACTTTGCAGCACAAACAATGAATGACAGGACCTTCCTTGTGGGATCGTCACAAGGTTGAAATGAGATACCCCGTGGAAAGTATTTGGCACAGTCTGAGACTTCAAAACATGTTAGCTACGGTATTCCTGTTACGCTTCCTTCCCTTAATATCATTATATGGTTTGTGTTACTTTAAAATCAAATGTCAAACCGTTAAGAACATGTTTATTTTCCTGGAATTATACTTTGTGAGAAAATCCATTAAGGACATTGCAATGAACTGAATGTTTGTGCCCTCCCACCCCCAAGTTCATATGTTGAAGAATCCTAACCCCCGATATGATGGTATTAGGAGATGGGGCCTTTGGGAGGTGATTAGGTCAGGAGGGTGGATCCCTCATCCTTGGGATTTGTTCCCTTATAAAAGATACCCAGGAGAGCTCCCTTGCCTTCTTTCCACCACGTAAGGATGTGATGAGAAGAGAGCAGGGTGCGATCCAGAAGAGGGCTCTCACCAGAACCTGACCGTGCTTGGCTCCCTGATCTTGGGTTTCCAGCCTCCAGAACTGTGAGAAATAAACATCTGTTGTTTATAAGGCACCCAGTTTATGGTACTTTGTCATAGCAGCCTGAACTAAGACAGGCATTGAGTGTCACATGTTCTTCCCTGATTACTTCCCTCTGTTACTGCCACACACAAAGGTACAGACACGTGCCAACCCCAGGGAACGCAGAGCAACGCCAGGCCCTGCTCCCTCCTGTCTGGTCAGGCCCATCACTAGCACACACCATCCAAGCTGTCTAAACATGGGCTAGACAGACACAGAGGAGATGGGGACATGCTTGAAATGCCTGCAGGGTAGAGGGACTCATAACTTCTGTCCTTTTTAACTCTGAGATGCAGTCGCTCCCTGATCAAGGGAAGCAGTGCCAGGGAGGGTGCGCACATTCGGACACATCTCCAGCCCACTCCCACGGGCCTCTCCTGCCTTCCCCTGGGCCACTGTCCTGCAACAATGCCAGCCTCCTAGCTGGTCCTCAAGCTGCCCAGTTCCCACCTCCAGGCTCTCCTGCCCAGACAGCTGCCTCCAAATATCCTCATGGCTCACTTCCTTACCTGGAGAGGCCCTCCTGGACCACGTTTTCCCCAACCCAGATTCATTTTCCTTCCATGAATGTACGCCCCACCTGACCTCCTATATCTCCTTGTTATCGCCAGTAGAAAGGGCACTCCATATGGGCAGGGGTGGGGTCTGTCTTGTTCACTGCTTTACCCAGCACCTTGGAAAGTGCTGGTACAAAGCAGGGGCTCACTAGTATTTCTAGAAAGAATAAACAAGCCCGACAGCAGCAAAGTAGGAAAAAACGCAGGAAGACTGGAACGGCAGATGCCTGTGTGTTTTGGGGCCGGGGTGGCCAGTGGCTGCTGCCTCCGTCTTCACTAGACTTCAGATTCAGAAAAACGGATGAGATAAGGGCGAATGACAAGTCGCTGATGAACAAAACTGGTATGTCAAGGAGGTTCCCCCCACCTAACCCTAACCCACCACACACACACACACA